GATGAGTGGACTTCAACTCCCAGAATTGCTGGGGGGGGGATTCTGGGAGTTGAAGTCCACTCATCTTAAAGTGGCCAAGTTTGGACAACACTGTTCTAGGTGAACCTCTAAGGCTATGGAAAGTAAGCCTAGCATATTTGGGCTGCAAAAGTCCAAATGACCACAAGATGAATTTGGGTTTTCTGAATTGATTTGCCACCATCTAGCAATCAGCTGGATTTCTGCAGCACAGATATGCTAGTCTTACTTTCCACACCCTTAGAGGTTCACCATCCTGTTCTTTGAACTTGTCTTTATGCATTGGCTAGAATGATCTTTGCTCTTCCATATCAAGCTACCATAGCAACGTGCAGCCAGGGTCATGTGTATTGGGAAATACACCTGACTGCAAAATTGCTAGGATTTCAGTGCAGAAGTTCACAGGGATATTGAGGAAAAACACTGATTGGTTTATGATATTATCTGCGTGTATTCTTGGCAATTGAGGATGCCAGAAGTGAAGATGAATGTGGATCAGTTTCAGACTGCTTTGTGAGGGGAGACAAGGAGCGCTGGCAGTATGGAAGTGCCCTGCCTTAAATAGTTTTGTAAACTGAAGGCTTTGCGACTCTACCATAAATGAGCTGACAGTTTTCCAACCACTTACAAATGTTGACAAAATAGCCAGGCAATGTTTTATTTGCTAAAACCAACTGTCACTGCAAAGACCATTTAAAAATCTACCTGTCTATGTCCTGTGGGAGATCTTTCAGACTGTTGTTACTTATATCAAGCCACTGAAGATTTGACATCCGGAGTACACATATTGGGATGGAGAAGAATTTGTTTGCTGATACATCTACAAATGTTACTTGTTTTAAATTGCTTAGCTGTAAAGAAACAATATGTTATTTAATAAAGACTCAAATGAGCAAATAAACTATAATTATAGTTGATATTTCGCTAGCTGAATGAGGTCAATTGCACTATGTTGCATATTTAGCATAAGGCTTCACCCCATTATTTTAAAAATGAGGCCATGTTCAGAATCAAACATTTTCAATATTTCTCATTTGTTCCATGCAATGTACATCTTCCCTCAGGGAAGTTCTTTTGCTTAATAGACTATGGCATTTTATCTGGCTGAAACAACAATATTTTAAATATTGGTAGTCTCATAGTTAGTAGTTCCTATTGGACAAGATGTTGAATAACATAACTCTATGATTATGCCATCTCTAAGTTTTTAAACAAGTTTATGTTTCCTAAATGATATGAATTTACCTCAAATAATGAAAAATAAGTTGCATTCTTCCCAAGGGTGTCCATAGGATATGGCCAAAAAAGTTGAGATGGTGACCATGATGGTATGATTGAAGCTTCACCTGTTTTTTTTTAATGTGTGCAACATAAGAAACAGGCAGAGCTTCAACTGCACCATCATGGCATCCAACTTGACTTTTTGACCACACCCTGTGGATGCCCCTGCTTCTTCCTCAAGGTATATACTACCTAAAGAAAACACAAGATGGCAATATCATCCCACGTAAAGAAACTGATGAGGCCTGACAGTTGAATCTTCTCCAGAGCATTTAAGGACAGCAAGCAACAGCATCTGCAGGTGGGGATCAAGACATAAAAATGGTGGCTACAGTATTGTGATTAAAGCCCTGACCCTTTGTAACTGTGTATAACATTGATGAACATATAAGATGGGCAAGACGTGGATGCTACAACTGCAACCTTGCCAGTTTTGACCCCTGCAGATATTTCTGGCAGCAAAGTAATTTGGAGGCACTAGGCAAGCTGAATATCTCAGAGATTTTTTGTCCTCCAACATCAGGGGACCTCCTGGGACCTTAAGAAGAATGGTGTTGGGTGAGATTATACGTTCTCTCTGACTCACATAAACACATATATAAAGCCGTCTCACTGCTTAATAGCAGGACAGGTCTTGTGATATCTACTCTCACACATGGAGGAGAAAGATAAAGAAAAGGTAAGGTAATAACTGCAAAAATCAGATAAACATGTTTGCCATGGCACACAGATAAATATTTCATTTGCAATTTCTCCAAATCAAGTAGGGTGAGGTTCAGGAAAGATATTCTGAATATTCAAACACTGTTATCTGTATTGATATTTTGAGAAACACAAATATCAAACCACCCTCAGTTGTGCCTCTTTTATCTCAGGTATAGTGATAATTGCCATTTCCAGTGGTGTCCTTAGAAGGATGGCAGCACAGTGTTGCAATCAAAGCCCTGTCTCTTTTCTACATATGGCATGGGCACATACACAGGGCCTCAGCTGCAATGCTATGCCTGCCATCTTGCAGATTTTGACACATAATTTCTGTGGCCACCCGTAGCAATTTTCTTTGAGTCAGTTTTATTTATTTATTCTTTAAAGTTTAGCTGGAAGGCAGATATAATGCAGATATAGATCTTCAAAAAATTAAAGGTTATATCTGGGTTGCAAATATCCATATGAGTCCTAGATAGAAGCCAAGATACAGAAAACTCAAGTCTTTACTGCCAACTTCTTACAATCCATATAAGGTAGCCCTCCTATAGGTGACATCATGAAGACAATTTTACTGTGATATTCACTGTGATAATGACCAACTGTCATCTCAAAGTGGTTGAATAGTATTTTCTTGTAATAAAAAATTAACCAGACTTGCTTGTTACAAACATAAATATGCCTGAGTTCCAGTAATATCACTTTCAGTTGAGGCTGGAGTTTTACAAGGGTTTTGAATCCATATTTGAAACTGAATCTGCGAGGAGGTTTAATAAAGGAAGATAAACATATTGTTCCACCCAAAAATGTACCTCCTCCCATATACTGGGTGACTCCCTACTGGAGATTCATAATCATTCTCTTTAATCAATTAGTTTAATGGTATGATGGTAATGGCTGACAATTCTAAATGAGAAACCATGCACATCCCATCATAAACTTTGAGGCTCTCCAAATCATACATTTCAAGAGTCCTTTAAAAGATTACAGAGAGAAGCATTATATGACTGAGAAGCTGACTTCACATATTAATATTTGAAGGAAAGGTCTCACAGCACCATTTTATTATTACTATAGAAATGATTTATGGCAGTACGCTAAATACTTTTGCCTGAATAGCAGTTTTCCAAATCATGTTTTTTTAAAAAAAGTATACTGCTGAATCCAAAATTAATTATCCAATCCAGAATAGATATTAAAGGAAATAATTTTGGATGTATTATGTGTTTTAGATATATAGTTTTAATGTTTTCTGTAACTCGCCCAGAGTCCCCTATTGTGGGGGAGATGGGCGGGGGAGAAATCCAATAAAAAAAAAAATCAATAATAATATTTTTATTCATATTCAGACAAAATAACCTCCAATGTCAAAATGCATGAAAATATTTAATAGATGGGCATTAAAAAGAGGGTAAAAGTACTAACCTAATAGTGTAATCTGATTGATTTTCTAGTGGCATGTGGAGTCTAAAACTTGTCTTCCAAGTTTCAAAGCCAGCATGGCCAGAAGCTGACCTAATGCCAAATGGTTGGGTAATCTGACATTCACCATTCAGCTTCTGACTCAAAGAAGGGAATTAGAAAAGGCTGATATATGTATGACGTTAGCCATGAGATCCTTTGTCTGCAAAGTCACTTTGTCTCTTCTACCTTCTCTACCTCTTTGGCAGCTTCTCTTCTGGTATATTTTGGCTATCAGAGTGATTCTGTAGAGTCAACCTCTGTCACAAAAACCCAACAGCCAACTTTCTCCTGGCAGAAGAGAAATGGTGGTGGTGAAGAGCAATTTCTGTTAACAGGAGTCATTTCTTCTAGTCCAGTGTTGTCCAAACTTGGCCACTTTAAGATGAGTGGACTTCAACTCCCAGCATGGCTGGCTAGGGAAGTCTGGGAGTTGA